TTCATCGGATCATGCGCCCTTCGGACGGGGTCAGACGTCCAAGGTGCCCAATTCACCTCAATGCCCAATCGAGCCGTTGACCACTGCCACAACCGAAAAGGTGTGGGTGTGGTTCGTATGTCTTCCCATGGTTGGTTCGGAATCAGGGTTTTTGGCCAACTCCCCTAGGTGAACTGTCAGTGGTCCACCAACTCGGCTATAGCCCCGGATATCGGCTTTTCGTCCTCTCACTTTGGTGAGAAAACACCTCCGCCGCGAGAGTAGGGCTTCCTCAGCAGAGGCTATTTGAGACGCTTGGTCGTATGGGGGCATTTCGTGAGGTGCAAGGACAGGGTGACCAGCCGCACTCCTAGACACCAACCCCCAACCATACTGAGGCCTTGGGAGGCACCAAAGGTTGTGCGTCGAGGCTAAAGGACTGCGGGTCGTGGCTAAAGCATTGCGGGTTTTGGCTAAAGGAATGTAGGTCAAGGCTAAAGGATTGTGGGCTTTGGCTAAAGCTTGATGGGAAAAGGTGTAGTTATTCGTGACAAAAGAATAAGGAAACGAAAAACTCGGTGAAGGAAAACAGTTTTGAGTTCATTAGGGATGAAAAAGCACGAAACACCTGTGTTATGCTTTTACGGTTTTTCAGTAGTGCAGAACTCACTGTCCGCTGTGTATAACGGAACTTTTCACTATCGTATTAATCGATAAAACACTTTCCAATGGGGCAATAGCCTCAATTGTTTGTATTTCTCGGCTTATCATTCGTGTTCGAACACTCCGCCGTATCATCGAATCCAGTTTATCGTTCGTTAATATTGAAAGAAAAACACCGGACGCACTTGAAAACTGATGTGCACCTCGAATTGTGGTCGACAGCTTCTGCACATTCCCTCAGAACTGGGCAATGTTCCGTGATGGATAATGAATGAGGAGTTATTTGTTTGTCATTGACCACGTCTGTTCAGGGTGTACTGACGAATCGATTAGACTCATGTTTTATTTTCTAAAAATGTACCTTTCATTGACTATGTGTGCACTGAATTGACTTATCCGTTCTGTTCATTTTAACGATGCGGAAGTCGGGTGCAGTTGGGTGTTAATTTTAGTAAAACGACAGTATTACAAAAAGGTTAAGGTGAAAAGGTTGCCAACTGACAATACCGGATCACAGTGAGTTACACTGATATGTATATGTTTTGAACGAAATCAGAGCATCATGTTTCGACTGTTGCTCGAGGGTCTGCACCATCTGCTTATATGTTGCGACATTTCAATTTTCATGTAGTCATTAGAGAAGCTAAAAATACCTGTTTGAACATAGGATTCAAAAGCTACCGTTTGAATATTTCTTTTCTAGCCTATACTGGATAAACGTGGAAGTGGCGTGTTTGCGTGTAGTGTCTTAGTCGGTAAAAGTCACGCTATTTGATTTCGAGCAGTTGGCGAAGAGGGCCACAGCGCGTTAACAATGTGATGTGACGCGTGCCAATGCTTATTTAACCCTTACACACCTCTTAATATCAATCAATGTTTTATATAGTTTTGACTGTGTCACTATCATTTCGCTCCTATCAAAGCTTTTCAACCTCACCACACAATCCTCTAGTTTAGGCTTCCTTAAACACGAAGTGCTCACATTGTACTAAGAGTATTGTAAAAATACGGTTTAATAACTCACTCAGAACGACGTCGTTTCCTACGCTGTGATATGACACCATTTTTCTCATTGCCCCCTTGGGGCGTGTGAACCAAGCATATAAGATTGAACTTCAATATCAGTATATATTTTCGCCTCAACAACCTTGTTTGCAATACCGGGTGACCATTGGATAAACAACTCTTTCAGAGCCAGTCCATTTGAGAATCAATGCTATGATTCGGTGTTCTGTAAGCAGGTTAGATGCTACTAGCCGCAACAAACGTGACCTGTTGATGGTCTTTGTAGAATATTTTACAATAATTAGTATGTGAATGACTGGACAAATTCCCCTGGAGGCACACGACCGGTTTCGCAGTTCTTGCCGCTCGTCAGGCATGCGTATCCGGTAATCTTTTGTCAATTCATTCATATACTTGTACCCAGCAAGTGNCGGAAATACACTTCCTGGGTACAAGTATATGAATGAATTGACAAAAGATTACCGGATACGCATGCCTGACGAGCGGCAAGAACNCATTACTAATTGAAACAGTTTGTGTTTCTCCCCTTGGTGAAGAGTTGAATTTTAACTAACGTGAGATAGTCCTCAGTTCGCATTACATTTTTAGGTACACTCAGTGACAAAAGCTCAGATCTTCATGCTGTTCAGTCTACTATACATCCGGTCAACTTATTGACTCTAGCTACCTGGACATGATTCAAGGCCCATCTATCAACTTCGTGTCGTCGCCCCCTCCCTGTTTCCCCTCATCAGTGAGAGCGTCATGATGGGGGTGGTTCAGACAAACTCCTTTCTACATGCAAGCATACCACCTACTCTCCATTTCGCGGAACAGATTTGTTTTGTGAGGCGCATTTTTACTCTTTTTCAGATTTGTTAGGCTCAGCTGCACTTTGTTTCAATGCATGGCATATCACGATTGACGGTGGAGAAGTAGGGTTATACTTTTGAAAATATTGCTTAATATTTCCAGCATTTGGTGACATTTTGCATCCATCAATTATGACGTATTTTTTCTAAAAATAATCTGTCACTCTCCCGTGCGGTCCAATTCGTTCAGCCCCGGAAATCGTTAACTTTGATCCAATTACATTCGCAACAGACATGTGGGCAATCGGTGTCATAACCTATATTCTGTAAGTCATGTTCAATCATTCTACTTGTGTTCTTATTTTGCTGACCGGTGGACAGTAAGTTATTCAGTTGGTGCAGTAAATACATAATTATATACATATTATTTACTGTATTCCACGCTTGTCGATGTCCAGACCGCTTGTCAAACACAAAATCTTTCCGTAGTTTGTTTTCGTGGACAGAACAGTGCCAAGTTGCCATGGAAAATGCAGATGAAGCTTCTTAAAGAATTCACAGCTGCGGTCTTTGGTTAGCCAAAACTAACCCAAAAGACAGCTGCATGGTGTGTGAAAATCACCATCAAATCGGGGTTCGCGTCCAATTCATTGGATCGTACTCCCCAGTCAAACCTCCCAGTTACCCAACGAGAAAGGCTTTCGTTTAGTTTTTCTCCTCTTCTTGGCCAGTATGGAATCAGGTTTTGTATCAATCAACTCAGGGTGTTGTCTAGAGTCTTAGTCTTTCGTACTCTGACTGCGACAGGGAAACACGCATCGTAAGGGCTGTAATAAGGCCTTTCTCAGCAGAGGCTATTGGAGACCGTTAGTGGTATAGGAGGATTTCCCCAAGTGTCAGGAAAGTGCAACTATTCCCTACTCAGGACACTCAAACCGACCAAAATAAAGCTTTGACCAACAAACATGAGTCCAGCGTGTCAAATTTGAATAAACCAGCTGGTCATTGCAATCTTCAAACTCTGTCCTTAGCCGATCGAAACGATAATGTTGTAAGATGTACACTAGCGTTGCGTTCAATTTTCTGTTTCATGTTTTTGTTCACTCCAGTCGAACAGATGAAAACCGAGGAAACAACTACGTCCTCTTGTGCTCTAGTTAGAGGTAAACAGGTTTTTCCTATTCATCAGTTCATACGGAATTTGAGATCGAAAAAAATGAGATACGTACGAGCTCATCTCTTTACAAGATTTAATGAATTCCAACATGCTCTGGTGGGGACCATGGCAACATACTCACATTCCATAAGAAGGATCCGAGATTCAAACTAATCTGGTGAATATGCTTCTAATGAGAGCAAATTACACCCTGGGTGTCTCAATTATACGGATAGTCGCATGGACGGAGAATTGTGTATGATAATGGAACATGATGTCAGTTGGTTCAAAGTGATCAGATCAACTTTTCAGGCCAATTCGACCACCAATCGATGTGATCTGTAAGGATAACTTTTGGCACTGTGTAAAGTTATCAATGGAAACATGGTAATCGTAGCGGACCACTGTATTTTAACAATTTTTCAAAGTTTTGTCCAGGCTACTTCAACACTCTATTCTTATCCATATCACTCCGAAAGTCGGGAATGAGTGTCTTGGGTTATGGCTAGTCATCCTTCCTGCGCATCTGGTGAAATTCTATCACACGACTGACCGTCTCCAACTGC